TATATCATCCATATAAATAATTAGTACACCTTCATTTAACAAGTCACGAAATACTGAATAAATATACCTTTGAAAAAACTTTGGACTAATACATAAACCAAAAGGAGCTTTAAGAAATTACGTAGATACCATTATGTGTTACAAAAGCGGTATATTTGGTGCAATTTTCGTCTATGTCTACATGGAAAAAGCCATTTTTCAAATCTAGTGTCGTGAAGACCTTTGACTGTTCTAGACGATCTAGTACTTCCGAAATTAAAGGCAGTGGAAATTTGTCTTTAATAATCTTCTTATTTAATTTCCGATAATCTATACATAAACGTTTCGAATTATCACGCTTGTTACAAAACAATAGGCGCCGAATAATTAGAATTGCTAGGCTTTATTATGCCCTCTTTTAACCATTCCTTAATTTGATTGTCAACAACTTTTTGTTCCGCGAAAGACATGTATCTTCTATTTTGACAGACAGGAATATCATCGCATAAATTTATTTGCATCTTGAAGTCAGATTGTCTATTTTTCCGAGGCTGGTACGAATTAATTAAATTACACAGTCTTTCTTTATGTTCTACATTCGAAATATGCGATAAATCAATCTCGTTGACAGAAATAGCATTCACCAGATGTGAAAGGTAATTAAACGTCGAGCTACTTCCGCTTTCGGGACTTTTGTTTACATTAACAGAGACGCCAGACGATTGCGAAGGATCATAAACATTCTTCAATGACATAGCAATATTCAAATTTCCCATAACGCAACGAACGTTAGAATTTCGAGATGACTCAGCAGTTATCAAGTTTACATTACTTTTATTCCGATGAGAAATTATTTGAAGGCCATTCTCGGTAAAAGAGAAGTTAAACTGATTCAATACATCTAAACCTAATACAATTTGATTACATAATGACTTAACAACATAAATTTTCGTACGAAGTGAAAAACTATCAATTGAAATATCAGAAATGAAAAAGCCGATGGGGTACGTTTGCTTTGATTCAATTCCGTTTAATGTGATATCACTACAATTTAAATTAGGAGAACCAATCTGCTTGTGTAACTCTACGCTGCATATCGTTACATCTGAATCAGTGTCAACCAAACTATCAACTAAATGATTATTTATTTCTACAGTCTTCATAATTCTATCCTTGTCACAAATTCGTTGAATTAAAGCTGCTTGTTTCTCGGGGGTCTGCTCTGGACAGTTCGTTGAATAATGCCCGAACTTCTCACATTTTATACATTTTACACCCTTTGATTTGTTTACACAATGCTTTGAATAATGCCCAAATTCCTGGCAATGAAAACATTTGACCTTATTAACGTTAGATTGATTTCGGTAAGATGACGAAAGCTTACTTCTATCTTTAACTTGAGTGTCTACTTTCGGTTTCGGATTTTTTTAAACTTATCATTGTCCGATCTCATTTTATCATAAATTTTTAAGCCTTTGTTTAAATTCAGATATTGTTTCGCAACCATATAGTATAGTTTTCCTAACCACCGAATCGGGAATACCATCAATAACATATTTAATTAATGAAGCATCTTCAAATGTTACCTCGCGAACACATTTCTTTCATTTTCAAAAAATACTCATCTAAAGATTCATTAGGCATTAATTTACGTTTACATAAAATTTCATGCAACTCAGCAGAATTAAAAGCTTTACCATATTCAGGATTTCAAAAGCCTTTTTTAACTTACACCAGTCATTAACTTTAGGTTCACTCTGAATAAATAGTTTTCGCTTTACCTTTTAATGATCTTTTAGCAAAAAACTAATTTATGCAAGTCACTCAATTTCAAAGAATTTATAACATCTTCAAATTCATCAATCCATTTATCAACATTTTCATATGCATTACCAGAAAAAGGATTAACAATACTTTCAATATCCGAAAAACTAAGATGAGGTTTAAAATGATCTTGAATTGGAAGCTGCATACTGTTATTTACTTGAGACTCGTTAAAACCAGGATTGTCTCTTTGATTATCATCAAGCATTACTTCAGAAATTTTGTTAATAGTTTCATCTTCAATATCACTATTTTCTTCATGCAAAATATTTTCAAATAGTACAGATAAATCACATAGGAAAGAGACAATTCGGGTTACGACTTCCGTTTTTAAACCTTCTGAATTTATGCACAGTACATTGCAAACTTTAATTAACTCATTCAAAGTAAAAACTATTCTGCACTATATCTATTTTCTTATTAAATTCTTTCAGAATCTGGTTTAAATATAAAGCCAGAAAATTCACGTAATCTTTTCCGGTTATTTCGATCTCCATCAGTATTAAAAATAAGCTTATGCAAACTTTTGATTTCAGAACTTTTACTGTTCTTTAAAGCTGCTTCCAATTCTGGAATTTCTACTAACTTCATATTGGAAAGAAAGTTTTGTACTCACCCGACAGATGATCGTCGTCAATTGGGTAATCTACACTTTATACGAGTAATCCAATAAATCCGTAGTTCACTCAGTAGTTCAATGCACAGTTCAGAACACAGTTCATAATGTCACTCACACATTTTCCAAGTTCGAGCCGCACGGTTGGTCGCCATATTTTTTTGTAGAATTTGACTTAATTCACAGCATGAGAGCACGAAGTAATATTTAAATGGTTTATTTAATAGAAAGAAGTAAAAAATAAAAAAAAAGTAAAATAAAAAGATGAAGTTAACGGTATACAGGATTAACATAATGATGTAGTCCTTTTACACCTAAAGGCATAACATCAAAAGCACAATCTAAGTTCATAAACTCTTGAAGATGTGTGAGCCGTCTGCTCACGTCTGCCCTCCACTCTCGACCAGGTCTCAACGCTGTCTGGGATGATTCTTACTGCGCTGGGCTGTGATGGTGCTATACTGATGACGTCATAACGGGCAATTCTAATTCAGCATTGGACGTTGTGATTTCCCACATGTATCTTGTACCTGTCTCTATTGTGATGTATAATATGTTACTGTTTCATATGTATTAATTTTTGTGTAATGTTACCTTTCTCATGCATTTAATATGGATCCAGACTATTAACTTGTCACTTACCATGTCTTACTCCTAGTCACGGCTCGACAGCTTCTCTGGGCTTTCACCTTCGCAGCAAAACTCAACATTTTTCTTACTTACATTCACATATTATAAAAAAAATTAATTAATTACTTTTGTGACCTAAGCTTATATGCTTTTTGAAAGGTTATTTGCAGATACATTGTTAAATGAAACCATATGTTCTACAAGGGGTAAGGCCTCTGGCCTAGGCACCCTGGTGTTGCAAACACCGCTCTACTGGGGAGTGTATTAAAAGATTGCACTAATGTAATTATAGTGTTTTATTTATAGAATATATATAACATATATTATAATATATGTTATATATTATAGAGTCACGGCTTTCTTTTTGTTAAAACTGTTCATCTGAGAGCTTGATGTTCGCTGGCAGATTTTTTTCAAAAATTCCTACACATAATTCTCAGTTATTATATTTCGGTCATTGTAATTCAAACTACAGGTATGTGTGAAATAATTATATAATTACCTATTCAACAAAAATATAGTGTAAATTAAAGTAATAAAAAAGAAAAATAAAATTCGTGGGCCGAGAATGATGACGTCCTTCTGCCAAAAACCACAAGATACATTGCAGCAAATTAAGGAAAAGCAAAAATCGTCATTGTCACGACGAAAAAAGATAATAGTTACATTGGCAAGTTCCTCCCTCCGCGCCCATCCAATATGGTCACAAATCCGATGGCATCGTTTACGATTGTTATGCGTTTTAACTTGTCTACGCCTTCGGTGACGTCATTTGACTGTGATGGCGCTTTCCCTACATGTTTGCTTCTAATGTGATTGGACAGCATAATTCACAAGTGCACATCAATATTGCGACTGAAGGACGGGTTTCAAAAATGGACCAATGAGCTTCTATTGCTCTTGTGACGCTGAATATTTGAAACTACGGATACAAGTGCATGTTGTTGTTTACGTTTCATTTTGCATTGGTTTTGCAGTTATATATGTATGGCATATAAGCGCTGCTAACATTTTAGCAGAAAATCTCGTAGTGCTTTTATTTTATAAGTTTATTTAATCGTCAACATTTCGTTTTCGTTAAATTTACCACGCACTGATATTCGGATTGATGTTCACGGCATATTGACGATCTTTATATCGAGAAAATGACTCAAGATACAATTAGCATCGAATATTATGCGTTTACACTTGTGGATTAAGCGAATTCAAGTGTACATTTTTTTATTATTATTATTGAGCTGAGAATAACAAGAAGTATTACAATAAACTAGTATTTTCTTATCTCAGTGCTCTTGCATTCCTTTGAAAGTGTAAGTTTCAAAATATATACTGTAAATAATTTGATTACACCTATTGTTAAGATTAAAAGTTACACATGAATAAATTTAAAATAGTCGCTGTGAATATGATAAATTAATTCTGTTTGAAGAGTATTTTTGTGCAAGCAACCCATTTAAGAGTGAACAGTTATTAATGTAAAATTTAACACACTTATCATGTAGAAATGCAAATTAGGAAAATGCTCTTTTAATAAAATTCTGCATTGGCTATTATTACAGAACGCATTTTCATATAGACGGCAATAAAAATTGCTAAGACGTCTATTATTTAGATATATAATTATGCTTATATTTGATCTAACTTCGCACTGAAAAGTTTCACAAGAAATCAACAATGTTTTTATTATTTCGTACAGGAAATTGCGTGGAAAACCATTTCCTACCATCCTGCTTAAAACGCGGCAAAAGTCATGTGAAATGACAGAAATATAACTGGAAGCACATTGGCCGAGTCTAGAAGCCGCTCCTTCGGTGGCTATAGAGATGTGCACTTACGAAATATGGAATTAGACAACTCATTTGTAGAGCATTTAATATTGTTATAAATAACATGTTTTTCCTAAATTTGTATCTATTTAATTGTAGAAAGTAATGTAGAAAAAGTTACATACCTTTCTTCTAGTAGCATTTGCAACAACTTGAGGAACATCAGCCCAATATTCTTTTGACTCTGTAACACCGTGTAAGAAAATAATAGGTGATTTCCCTGTAATACCACCCACAGGCTCAATAACATTGTACGCTAATCGTACAGGAATATAGCTGAAAATAAATACATTCGTTTATCATGATTTACGATTCCTAATACTTAAAGCTAAATAAGAGTAACCAGTTTAGTAATTTTCCTACGATCTTTCAAATAAATGAAAAAAAAATCTTCATTTTTTTATAAAACAAATGAAAAAATTTCGATTCAAGTTGTAGTGAGTTAAAAGAAGTAAAAAAAATTTAGGTGAAGAATAGATCAACTAACTAAAGTGATAAGCGTCGAGGAGGTGGAAAAAAATAGAGATGGAGATACAATTCACTTTTTGTTTTTACGAGAAAGGAATCTAATAAAATACTCGTATAAATGTGTTAGTTCAACTCATTGCAAATTAAACTGATTGGAAACTTTTATTCATAATCATGAACAACAGCACTAAAAACTTATACAGAAAAAAAAAACTACAGACTTCCACCTTCAGCACATCCAACTCCAACACATGGTGAACGAACAACCACATGGTCAAACGGGCGGCTAAAACCCGCCGGGAACTGGAGAAATTCAACCAATCAGAGACAACCGTTGCGCCAGGAACTTTTGGCGTCATTTTCCGATCGATCGTCATTTTCCGATTTTTGTGCAAAACTGGTATACAAGAAAGCAGTTGTTAATGTTATGGTAACTTGTTCGTATTTCTTGGGTAGAAGTAGTTCATTTGTTTGGGTTATTTTGTGTTGCCCTGATATGATTTAATATTTAATTACTGTAGAAGCGATAAGTGAAGTATGTAAATCGCAATTTCGAAAACAAATACATCTTTATATTCCACTCAATTGGCTAACTCGATACCCAATAACTTTTCTTTACTTTTAAATAAAGGGTGAAAATAATAATTGATAAAAATTACTTACTGTGAAATTTCTGGGCTCTTTGTGTATTTGAAAATGCTTGTTGATATCTAGGTTCATATTATTTCACGTACTCTAAACATCGTGAAATTCAATAAAGAAAAATATTTTAAGAATGTGTCTTTTTTTTTTATTGAAACTACTTTTAAAACTTTTAGAAATTTCTCTTTTGTATATTTTTCCGTAGGCAAAAATCACATTAACAAAAGCTCCTACTGAAATATAGAAAATACAATGATTATTCAGAGAATCTGTATATTAAAATGCTGATGTGGGATAACTCATAAAATAACCCAGGTAACCCAGTAACTCCCAAAAGAAAAAAAAATAATTGAAAAAATTAACATGAAACTTGGTTATGCATTATTCTCCATCGAAATAATTCTGTTTCATTTCATTGTGTTATGTAAAAATAAAGATGTAATTTTTAAAGTCTTGGAACATTAGCACAATCAAGTCATTTTTATTCATGATGAATCTGTGGGATATTTTACACTTTATATTACACCGTATGTGTTACTATGTACATTATTTTCTTTCATTGCCAAGACTTTTCTGAATAATATGCCAGTAATTTATCACCTTCATTAGTCTCCAAGGTTTGTAATTATATTTTAGGAAATCACACAGTCTTTAAGCTGCAATTTTAATTCCACATTGCTTATGATTTCAGATGTCATGTATTAATCCCTAGCAGAAATTCTGTATAAGTTTTCTTGAAATCCAAAGCATTTTCTTTTTCTGTACAAATAAAATATTCCAACAACAGCTATCACCATTGGATGCTTCTAATTTTTATTTTGTAAAGAGCAACAAATTGTATATTGTAGTCTACACATCTGCTGCCTGTGTTCCTATAATTTGCTATCATTTCTGATTGTGGAATTGTGGTGAATTTTCACAATTCTGTATTATGCATATTAGAGCACGCATAAAAATATTTCAATTGGTAAGAGATTGTATAAGTGTTTTCTTTCTTTTTTTAAAAAAGTTCTGTATCAATGGTAGTAATTTATTTAATTCATTATTGCAAAGCAGGAAAACAGTATCTTCTTAAGGGTAGAAGACTTTCATGAAGTATATGTTTAAAATAATATGACTTCTGTTCATGCGGCACAAGAGAAATATCCCATGCAGCTAGCCTGTCCACCAGTGTTCAAACTATTAGTGCTTCTTAGTCTTATCCACTCGACTGCTGATGAATACTAATTATGGAAGATAGTAATAATTTTTCTCAGTGTGAAAATTTTGTGACCATTTTATAGAAAGTTTCTTACTGTAGTCTGCTCCAGAATCTTCGGATGAAGTTATCATTACATGATATATCATAATTTATTCTTTATATTGAAACTGATTGGGGAACTTTTTTTTTTCATCTGGAATAATTGTTCTTAGTAGCAGAATAACTGCACACAAAGGACTCTGTTTATAATTGTTATTCTCCAAGCAGATTTAATAAATTAACATCATTCAGTTTATTATACCAGTGTTGTATAAGAGTCAAAAACGGCTTTAAGACAAATGGGTGGTATCTGAGTATAAGTGTGCATTTAGTTACAATAATTAGTAATAACCATTTATTGTTTTACAATGGTTTACATTAATGTTATGTTTTCCTAATATCTAACATGTTAAATAACAATTCTATTTTGCTTGGTTTAAGGTTGGTTCCTAGGGACCAATGCTATATTTAATATGTTAAGAAATGACTGATGAAAGTGTTAAATTGATAAAAACAACTTACTTATACATAGAAAACAAACACTTGAAATTTTGAACTTCAAGTTATATTTTGTGATTATCCATATGATCCATGCGCAAAAAATATTTTAAAATATAGTATTAAAAAAGAAAATTTACAGAGTTTAAAAATTTATTAAAAATATTCATATTATGCTACATAATCTGATATTTTGAGCAATATATATTAAATTGTAATTTATCAACCTAGATAAAATTTTGATTAAAATATCTAGTGGTGAGCTATTAAAATATTAACAAAGAGCACACACTTTATTTTATAAAATTCAAAATACCAAATTATGTTTAATTTTTAAATGTTTTAATTTTTACAAAAACGGAAAACAAATAGTAACTGTGCATGAAAAAAAATTAAATAAGAAATATCATGGAAATTACATAAAATAGCAAATAAATTTCATGATGTGCACAATTTGTGCCAGAAGTTGCCCCTCACTTTTCTTCTCACATCAGTTGATCATTTGTAAGGTTTTAAGAACCAGCAGAGATTTTTCAAAAATTTTCTATTTTGCTAAAGGTTTCCCCATTTAGCATTGTCTTTAAATCTAAAACTTCATGTGAGTCAAAGAAGGTCTTATTGTGGAAACACTTTTCGTTAAGCTTAAAGCCTGCTTAGCTTCACCTCTATTAATACTAATAGTCTTTATAATAACTATACCTTCCTTTACACTATTAGGAATTCCATTATGCAGTTTTCGTGTTAAAACCATCTCGATGGAAATCCTAAAATAATTTATTTATATTTCATGTTTTAATGTAAAATTTAACGTATGTTAAAGTACGGTAACAACATGCAAGACGTTTTTCCCTGGAATAAGTAATAAGCAAACAAAAAAAAAAAAAAACAAAGGACAAATTGAGCAAAGGACGCGTGCAAACTTCGTACATCTCATCACTAAAGATATCATAATGGACTTTTTGTACCCCATTTAATGTTGAAAACACCTAATATTACTGATAATAAGAATAGGCTAAATAGATTTCACTTGTATATATATCAAAGCTATATTTGCAGACATCTTTAGAAATTTCAAGACACTTTCAACTCAGACTAATTGCCAAGCAGGCTCATTTCCATTGTAGAACTGATGGTAATGAAAAAGCTGATTTCCTCACACAGAAAAAACAAATTTACTGAGTGCATTAGATTTCACTTTCTAAAGCTTTTGACGAATTTAATTTGTAAATTTTTCATGCAGAGTCATTTCGAGCATGTAATCGAAGAACTTGGAATGCTGTTCGAACAAATCCACCTGTGGTCCGAGGTTCTCAAAAATATATAGTTGTCACAAAATTTGTCAGGTCATGAATTTCAAGATTAAAATAAATCAAGAAGGCCTTGAATGATGCAGAATTTGTATAATTCTTATTAATTTTGAGTGTTATCTGATATCTGTTCTTCAAAAGGCCAGGAATAAAAACCTTTTTTCATTTTTATTGAAGAAGAGGGACCTACGTCAGTTATTTCTTAAAACTGACACAAGATTTTATGTTAAGCTGCTATTTTTGCCTTACTTTAATTTTATATGTTTTTGTCAGTTAAGTATGACTTTTATCTGCTCTTGAATGTCAGAAACATTAATTTTTCTAAACCATGGGTTGTATCAATATAAAGTACTTTGGAAGTAGATTTAAGCAAAATAAGTATGTTTCAGAGAAGACTCATAAGTATTACAGAAATATAAATTCTAATTGTATTGGAAGCCTATAACTTTAAAATACATAATTACAAATGTTTGATATGTACATATTTGGTTATATGGTACCTGTCCCCATACTGCTTGATAAGAGTACTCTAGCTGATGTATTTTGTGTAATATCTACATGACACATATATTTCACTGGCATGTCGGTTTCCGCAGCCACAGTAATCTTGTTTGCAGATCAGACTTAATATTGGGTACAAATACTTTGTTTTTCATTTACCATTTTATACAGATCGTCAGACCAGATAAGCTAAGCAAAAGGTGTCCAAATATATAGTTAGGTTATAAACCTAACTATCAGTGTTCAGCAGTCTTACCATTCATGGGATCTTTTTCAGATGATTATCAACTGCATTATATTACATTATAGAGATCTTCCCATTTTACACTCCTCATGTTATGCTAATGACAATTTTTCTTAAAATCTATTTGTTACATGCATTAATCCTTCACACATTCTTCTTTTGAAATTGGGAAAGAATTCCAGATTTTATTAGATAAACAAAACAATTTAATAAAATTTCATATTAACCTTTTCAAAAATACAGTACATTTGAGATTTTTACTATCAATTTATTCAACATGCTACATTTCTTAAAAATCAAATATCACACAAAAACGTAATGCATTTTAGAAAAAGTTCAATCAAATTATTTATTATTATTTAGGAATCTTCTAATA